ATGGGTCCATCGGTCCCAGTGCTCTGCCGGCAGCAGAGGCCGGGAGCCGAGTGCCTCGGGAGCTGTAAAAACAGAGCAGGCACGCGCGGGCCTTCCCTCGAGGCCTCTCCCTCGGGGGCTTGGTGAGCCTGCCTGTTGAGTAGCACGCGGTGGCTTGTCTAGTCCACTCACTACCCACTGCAAGGACGACGTCTGTTATATACTTGGAACCTGGCTCCTGTGCGTTTCATTTGATGGTCCTTGCTTTTCTCACTGGAATGGACAGTCAGTTGCTATCTGGCACGCGCGGGCCTTCCCTCGAGGCCTCTCCCTCGGGGGCTTGGTGAGCCTGCCTGTTGAGTAGCACGCGGTGGCTTGTCTAGTCCACTCACTACCCACTGCAAGGACGACGTCTGTTATATACTTGGAACCTGGCTCCTGTGCGTTTCATTTGATGGTCCTTGCTTTTCTCACTGGAATGGACAGTCAGTTGCTATCTGTTTTATCTGTGGCACTCCATACTTGCAATAGACTCTCCCACCAACACATGCTCTTTACCAGCCTACTTTTATGTTGCTGTTGTGGAAGCAGTTCCATTTTTCCGATAATTCTTATCAACATACCTTGAAGCTTTGCTGGTTTTGTCTCTTGCTTTTAAGTGTAAGGGACCAGAATTGCACTTGGTGTTCACAATGTGAATTAACTGGGAATTTGTGGCACACCACTGTCATGTTTTATATGCTGTTCTATATTCTTTTCCTATTAGTTCTGGTAGGTTGAGTCATCGACCCTGTCAACTCATACAGGTGGGTTGAGCTTGAGTACCACCCCTAAGGCAAAACTTTAATTTCAGATAGTCAAGGACAATTTCAAAACATGGAAAACATGAAAATAATAACAAGGAAAAGAATGACAAAACTAACTGAAAATGGGCTGCTAATGTAACTGTCCCCTGCTGGCCAGTAACATGGCTGGAGAAAGGAAATTTGCTCTGTCAGGTGCTGAAGAAGATAATAACTAAATACTAATACATAGGAAAGAACGAAGAAAAGGAAATCTTGCATTGCTGTCTTGTATTTCTGCATTGTGGGACAAATTATTTTCAAAATTAAGTCTGTGCACAGGATCCTTAAAGTTAATGGAAGGAGTCCATTGACCTGGCTTCAGAAGACCACGGCCAAGCAATTTTTCTAAATCGATTGCATTGCCTTGAAGACAATATATTTTGGCTGTAATCTGGAAATGTGGTTTTCATGCTCCACTGTTTAAGATTTCTCTGTAGACCAGTCTCTACTTCTAATCTTGTCGTTCTCATTGCACTTTCCTTCCCCATGTCGGAGTAGTGTCAACTGAAGAATTGTTGCTACTGTCTGGGAGTGGCAAAGACAGGTATGGTATTCTGGGTTTGGGGCAGAGCATTAAAAGCAGAGGAAATAGAAAAATTGTGTTCTCTTAAGAGATCTAC